CGTCTCCTCCTGGGATTCTAAAGTGAATTTGAAACAAATTCTCCTGACTGTTTCTCAGTAGTGGAACAAGGCTAAAAGCAGATTCTCCTCAGAATCCCTTGTCGCCCACCACTTGTGCACTCTCTGCAGCGTGACAGTTGTCCGTGGTCGGAAAACAGAACTGGATTAGCTATCCATGCATCGAGGGGACGCCCAAAGCTCCAGGCTACTGAACAGAAAGAGGAACCCTATTAATTTGCCAACTGTAGTGAGTTGATTGTCTTACAAGGATGTGATTTTTCTATACTGAATGGCATATTTTATGTGCTATAGCAATATTTTTTGCTCAGCAAAACTTAGTGAATCACTTTTGACACACACACACACACAGAGCGACACACACCCACCCCGACTTGGGGGCAGGGGAAGGCAAGCCAGGCAAACTTGTATTAAGAATGTATATAGTTAAACCCATTTTGGGGATTGCAGGATAAACTAGATGACTTCTGAGGGTATTTTCTAAATCTGTTTTCTGTGGTTCTTAGGATATCTGCTAAACTTCAACATGTGTTTGAAGCAAGTAATTTCTATGGTTTAGGAATGGTCAAGAAACCGGTCACCTAACAGTCTCCCATCACTGTAGGTTTTCAGTCTCCTGGACTATATCTGCTAGCACTTAATTATCCTTAGCATTAGAAGCTTCTGTCTGCTATCTTCAGAAATCCCCTTTGTTGCAATTTAAATCAATTTCTTCTAGTCATGTTCACAATGGACATGGAAAACAAGCTTTTTTTCCCCTTCTGTAATTCAAGTTATTTTTTTCCTGTTTGAAAGCAGCGATCGTCGCCCATCAGTCTCTCCTAGGCTGAAGAAGCCCTGGATCTGGCTTGTTCTCATAGACAGTGTTTTCTAGACTTTGTATCACTTCTGTTGGTTCAAACTGCTTGGCACAGGCCTTCATTTTCCAAATGCGGCTTCCTCCCCACAGACAACAGGACAAACAGATCTACAGTGACAGGATATGAAGCTCATACGTACAAACATTAACAAATAAAGATGTGAGCAAAGGTGTACATTAAGATGACTTTGAAATGTGGGGATGTTTGCTGCTTTGAATCTTCCTTTAGCTTTTCAGCTGTGAACACAGCCAGGTTGTAACACATGGCAGCTGAATTTGAGAGTAGGGGAAAGATCAGTAGTAACAGAAGGTAGCTGAACGACGGTAGAAGCGGGGAGACAAGAATCTCCTCTTCTTCCCTGTCTTCTCCAGATTCTCAGCAGTTACAGAAAGCTGATGATAGGGCCTCAGAGGTGGGAGCTCTTTTCCACTAATCCTGCAGACTCCTGGGAATGTCGCTTTGATGGCGTCACCCTCAGCACTGAAATTCACCAGCTCACTATCAGATTTAGGGAGAAAGAGTTGCGAAGTGCCTGTTTGTACACAGGTCACCCCGAATGTTCAGGAGTTTAAAAATCCAAAGGAACAATGAAGCACTTTGCAGGTGGAAGTGGCCACATTCATCGGGAGAATCTATCAGCTACAGGACATCGAGGATGAATTTAAAGAATTGGGCATTCCAGTCCAAACTTTTTTTAGTTGACTTGCGGCTTGCATAGCTTGTCCTTTAGGGCATTGTTATCAGAGCGTTATTATATCAAGGTAATTAGAATTACCTACACAGCCCAGTATATGGTAGGTTTTCCACATGAGCGAGACAGGATCCTTCCCTCAGGAGTTTAGCGATCTGCACAGGCAAAAGCAGTGAGTTAGGAAGCAAGTGAAGATGCAGAGGTGTAAGTGCCAGTCTTATTGCCATCTGTGCTGGATTTACAGATCAGAAATCACTACTTCTAAAACCATACATAATCTATGATGTTTCGATAGGTTTAATTTTTTTTTGTTTGCTTCTCAGCCTACATGTATTCAGGCAGGCTGCAGCCATTAGATGAGTATGCTGGAGATAAGAATTCTATCTCCATCCTAATTTTGTGCTTAGCGATGTTAGGTACCGAGAAGGCATGACTGTGTTGGTCTGAAGTTCTGCTGCTGCTTAGAAGTGAGATGCAGTAATGGAGATGAGCTTTGCTTCACTGTTTGTTTTAGTTTACTCAAGAGCTGTGTGCAAGAGCTTTCGCTCAGAGGTACGTGCATATCAAAACGGTATGGATTTCAGTAGCTGACGTCAGGAGCTGACTCTATCAACAGCAGCAAAGCACATGTTATGTGTAAGTGCCTTGCAAATACAATGAGGTGCTGGGGTTGTACTGAAGTATTTGGAATGCCTCCAAACTGCGTCCATGCCGGAACAAAGACTTGCTGCAGACTCTTCAGGCATCAAGCAGATGCTTCTTCCCCAGCTTATACCAGTCCCACACATACCGAAGTGCCTGTCTGTGCCAGGGTAGATTTGTGTATCTTAGGGCTGGTGGATATGCTGAGCAATACATCTGTCTGTAGACGTGCCACTGGACAGCATGAACTATGTGGTGAAGAGGGTGTCTAGATGTGCAGCCTAGCCCCAGCTGCTTTAAGATATTAATCACTGGAATACCACAATAGCTATGTGTTGCCTTTCTGTGGGGATGAAACTGTAACTCAATTTGCAATAAATTTCATGTTAAGTCATTGTCAAGGTTTTTAATTTGTTCCTTTTTATTTGCTAGTTATATTTTTCAGGTTTCTTTCTGGCAAAAATTACTGTACAATTTTAAGCCATAGAAGGAAAGCCACCCCCTGTGGTGGCTAAATGTTTGTAGTGGAAACGCTGTCAGCATTTGCAAGACAGAAGATGCTGATATCTGACTTCAGTTGGTGAAAAAAGAAATTTTGCTTCGGTGCATTTTTGGCCCTCAGAGATGGTATCAGTAAAATTACATAGAAAAGGTGTCCCCACACACACACCTGTTTATCAGCATTTTTGAAGTACAGTCATTCTGGCAGGAATTCAGATCTAGAATGTATGAACACATTAACACCTTTTCCAGAGCGCTTTTATCAGAGGTATTGTTTTCTGAAATAGGTCATAAAGACAATGAAAAAGGCAAGAAGTAGCAAGAGAATTCTGTGTAGGAAAAAGTAACTTACTGGCTGCTGCTGGGGCTTGCTGCAAACGTAAAATCGTTTTGATAAGATGTTTCCTGTTTAAATAGACATTTGACTATGTGTCCTTTGGCTTTAAGGAAGTCTCAAACAAAATCCCTTCCCAGTTGCTTAGCTGTCTGGGTGGTTTTTATTACTTTGAAGTTAGGCTTTATCTGCTGGCTTGGTTCACAGACTAGCTGGCTGCTTATCACATCTGTGGATCAAATCTTCAAAGGTTCTGTCTGAAGAGTTGGGATTTATGAGGTCACGTGGAATCCCCCTCGGAGGGAGTTCAGCCCATGGCAGCAGAATTGTGGGGAAAAGCTTTTGTCTGTAGGTGATACTGGGCAGGGGAGGGGCTCTGCGATGCACGGGAGGTATGTGTGTGTTGTGGGGTTGTGCTGATAGCCAGGGAAGTGTTGGATTGTGAGCGCTGGCCCACTTTCAGCACGCAACATATAGAGAATGTGGGAGACCAGAGTGCATTCCTAGACACAGACTCACCGTGTTGCTGCTTCCAGTAGAGCTGTGTGAAATGTCAGAAGGAATTAGACCCGTGCTGCAATTGACAACCACATTGGTCTCTGCAGCACTAGGCTTCACTGCACTTTCACAGTTTAGAAACTGCACTGAATGGGTGAAAATGGTGATTTTATTCTTTTTTTTCCAGAAAGGTGGCTGCTTATTAAAAGTCAACAAAAAAAGGGGAGAGGCAAGAAAAAACAACCCAAAAGGCTGCCTGGCTTTCTGCTTACTTCAACAGCGAGCAGCAGCTGTCAAATCTGCAGCCAAGACTGCCTTGTCCCAGCCCCAAGCGTCCCTTGAACAATATGCCAGCTGAGATGAGCACCTCCAACAGAAGCACATTTGAGTACTCTTGCCTCTGGAACACAGCATGACTTTCAGGCTGTGTTCAGGCATGCCAGGCTTTGCTGACTGTACAAAAATGGGACGACTCAGTGCAGCAACATGTGTTTGTTGCATTTCTGAGTGTCTTGCAAACAGCTTTAGCTGATTAGGCCACTAGAGATCATGCTTGGCTTCAGAGCAAGCAAAATGATATAACTACACGTGCTGCAAGCAGGAGAGAGTACTCTGCTGTGCTGATTTATACCTCTCAGTTTCCATTCAGGACATGAAGATTAGATTAAATGATTCCAATGATCTCTTTTAAAAGAGTGTTGCAAAGAAAGTTATTTTTCCTTGCAGCAGACTGTGAGTTACCTCCTGCAAAAGGATGAACAGATTGTAGGTACTGTGAAGGTAGTATAGCCCCGCACACTGTGAGGGATTTAGGAAGGTATGTAGCAAACATTAATTTGATGTGTTTGGAGATGTGGCCAGCTGTCTTTGTCAGACAAAGCATTCCTTGACTTCTCCATCAGAACGTGCCGCTGCTGCAAAGAGTAGTTTCAGGTTTATGCACTTGGCTCTTACTTGGCAAAAGCTGCTATCTTTCAGCACTTACCAAGGCAGCCCCTCTTTGGATCAAAGCTCCACCCCTTGTGAAGAAGTAGAGCTTACTCAGCCTCTGCAGCTACACGCTGTCCTCCTGCCATGGCTCCTCCTCCCCTCCTACCCTTGGGTGGAACCAGAGAAGGGAAAACTTGACAATAGTTAGCAGGCGGCAGAGCTCGCAGGAGCTATTGCAGAAGCATGTCCAACTAGCCCGGTTAGCAGTGATTCTGTCCTTCCCAAGGGTGCCGCCGCCGCTGCCGAGTGCAGGAGAGGATGGTTGTAGCCATGGGAGCCAGGAAAAATCTGGAAAGGAATGAGCAGCTGAGAGACCTGGCATTCCTTGGGCAGCTTCAAAGAGAGGTGAAGTATCTGAATCAGCGCAAGATTAAATGAGCACTGGCTGCTGCCATGTTGGCAGAACAGAGCTGTTCAGAAGCAGTTGGACAAGTTTGTGGCTGAGCCGGTTTATCCAGTCTTGAAGATGGGAAGTTACTTGTCTGCCCCAGCTTACTTCACTCCCAAGGATCCCTTTCGGTAAGTGTTGTGCAGGATCAGCAGTGGATCTTCAAAGTGTCATTTCCCCCCCCGTAGTGCTATCCTCAGCAGTTAGTGTGTGGGGCGTGAAGAATGAGGTCCAGTGTATGCAGGGAACAGCTGGCCTCAAACCGGGATCCCGTCTTGCTCTGAGGAGGAGATGGGGAAGATTCTTGTTAATAGCCTCTTCGCAGCTCTCTGGTACGAGGGAGCTGCGCCTGTGCTGTGAGGCAGCGTCTGCGTAGCCCAGGCAAGCAGGCTCCCTTTCAGACCAGCACTACCTATGCCACTACCCCATGCCCCTGTGCTTTGCTCCGCTGCCAGAGGAATGAGATTACTAAGGCTGCTGCTGCTTATGTCTCTTCCAAAACTACTTGCGCTTGGGCATAGCACAGGGTGAGGTGAGGTGTGCTGTTGCAGGTTCAAGAAGGTGCTGTAATCTGCAGTTGAGGCAGTGCATAGTCTTGTTTGAGAAGAGAAATCAGGTACTTTACAGGTAACTGGGGACAAGCAGCACAGTTCCCTTACACGGAAAGGATTTTTTTCCTGTGTTTTTTTTTTTTTATATTAACAATTGTTCTTGGTCCAATTGGACAAATGAGGCTTGAGAAGGGTGATAGCTACAGAATAAGGCTTTGATTGCATTACCTCTCCATAGTGAAAACTCTTAGTGGGGCTGAACACAGCCAGGATGGTGACTGATGCTGATGTGCTGATATGGTGAATGGATGGGGAACGGCAAGGCTTGCAGTTTCATTGTCTCCCTCCTATTCCCCTCCACTCGGATTTGCTCATTATTGATCCTGTTTCTGCAAACACACTGTTGTACTGATTTGGGAGTAAGGAGCCTGTTGTTAAAACAGTCTAGGATAGGAGTAAATACTGCTGCGCAATTGCAAAGCTTCTTCAGGCAACTTTCTGAAACAGCATCCGCTTTCAGAAGGAAAGTGAGCAGGCCTTCACTATTTGTAATATGTGTAGGGCATCGTGCTAAGCCATAGATACACCTTCTCCTAAGTGTGTGGAAATGGTTTGCATAGTCAGAGCTTAAACACTCTGTCTTCTAGTACTTAGTCTGTTTTGTAGCATCTGTTCTTCCTTGTCTAGTGTCTCTTACATAGCCAGTGCTCACACTTCTGCTAAAGTTCGGGTGAGAAGCCTTTGGGTTAGCTATGGGCTTGGGTTATGTTTTATTCTGCTCCTTTCTGTCTGTGTGACTGTCCTCTCCCCCGCTCTGCCTGCAGAATTGGAACCACAGCTTTTTCGAGCCTGTCTAGCGTTAACTGATCTAGCCTGACAGAGTGTGTGTGGGGGTGGATTTTGTTAATGAGCCCTTCTCAAAGGGATCTGTCTCCTCAGTGCCAGGGCAGTCTTTGCTTCCATGAGGGTATTGGCTTTCATTTAGATGTAAAAGAGATGCCACATCAATTGAATCTCCATCTCGCTGAAAACCAGGCTGGTTACCTGTTGTGACCTGATCCTCCTGCCACCCCCCACAAAACCAAGTAGCCTTCAAGCAGTGATCTGTGAACTCTTTCTGCACCTGCTGTGCTACAGAGCATCCGGGCTGAAGACTGTACCCAGATGCTGCCTGGGGATGGATGCATTCCTGGAGGATGGCTATGGGAGGCAGATTAATTTATTCTTCATAACCAAGGCTGGGAAGTGAAGAATCATAATGTATGGGACTGTATAATCAAAGCAGGGCTCTGCAGCTCTGAAAATGGTGGCTGGGCAGCAAGAGGAAACGCATCAAGTGTGGCTGTTACCAGTCCTCCAAGACACTTGATTACCATGCTTTGTTATTCTATAATAAGAATAGCAAATCATCTAGCAGAAAATTTGCGCTTTCTAATCTATAAAAGACAGAGGAGCAAGAAATCTTCCTTTCTTTTGGTTGTGGTGACTGGCAAAGATTAGCTTGCTTAATACCTCTAGAGTCATTGTATTCCTGTCTCCACTGATGTGAACCCTGGCAGTGGCAGCGCTGTAATGCCACGCACTCTAGTTAGGAGAGGAAGGAAGAAGTGGTAACTCTTGTGTCTTCTGTGATAAAATTGTGACATAGCTCTTCAATGAGAGTCATGTGGAACAATCATGTGATACCTTTATCATTTGGGCAAAGGCACTGAAACAGTTGAAACAGTCTTAAAGCTATACCTGTGTGCTGTCAGTCAGTTCTCCACACCTGACAAATCTAAAGCCTTTGCTACATTACAGAATGGATGGTAAATAACAGAAGGTGCTGCTTGGCAATACAGGCCATAGCCATGTCCTCTTGCTGGCAGTGATTAACGCAGCAGCCAGTTAGACCCATTACCAGCACCTAGCCTTGCTGGGGCTGGTTGCTTTGTTCCTGTTGCCTCATTGCCCTGGGTGCGGTTCTGAGCCTTAAGCTGCAAACTTGTCCTGCCCAGGTTTGTTTAATTGCATAGCAAAGAACTGACTGCTTGCTGGCTCCACCCCATCACCTTCATTTTGCTATGGGTGTGTTGCAAATTATATACCAGTGCTTATTTCCAGATGGAAGCAAACTAATCAAAGTGCTGTAAGGTTGGAATTGAACCATGAAGAAGTAGGGGAAAGGTAAAAGGAAGACAAGCGTACCTGATCCTCTGGAGCCTGTCTAAACACAATTGCCATTGTGTTCCTTTTGCAGAAATTTTAGATTTTCTTAGGGAGAAAAAGGAGT